AAACTTTGGTTAGTGTAACACCCCTAGGCAATGTAGTGTTGTGAAAAGTAGAACTCGATTCTACTTCTTGCAACACTTGCTGCAACAAAACGTAGTGACATGTTCATTTCAGGGGAGTGACTGTACAAAGTGCAAGCCATGCAAGCCAAGCAGTGAGCCATGTGAGCCAGAAATCCCTCACCCCCATATAAAGGCTAATAACGTCAAGCTGCCTACGCTAACTTAGGCTAACCAAAATGGCTTTGCTGACTCACACTTTGTCAAGACCCATTTTCAGGGAGTGTTACACTGGCCAATTTTTCGTGCAAACAAAATTGTGAGACAAGTTGCATGAAAAATTGCCTATTTTAACAGCGCCTTTATGAAGTTGTATAAATTTTTATGGCATGAGGCCCCCCCGGGGGGTACTTGACCCATGTTTGGGTATAGGGGTGCCGCTGAGGGTTTGAAAACCTGACCCTGTTTAGGGCAAAAAAACAAAAAGCCCTAAAATACCTACCCTGTGTAGGACAACATCCTCTGTTTTAGGACCCTGTTTAGGTTGCAATTTAGCGAATCCCATTTGACTGATACGCGGCAAACTGAAAATATAAGGTCACCATCACTCACATCAAATTCAGCTGTTGGCATATCAGTGTCAGTGCTTATCGTTTATCTTTCTGATCATTACATCCACAGATTTGAAAGCTTTGCTTCTAAAGTCAATGGCCTCTGGCCCTTCTTGGAAATGCGTGTATTGGTCATTCAGCATTCTAATCCTCATATTACTGTCACTACATCTGTTCATTCCAGACAGGTAAGTGTGATCTTGAAATTTACTTTGGCACATTAACAAATCAATGAGTTATCATCGATGGGTCAATATCAGTTGAGTACTCATTGATTATTGCTGATGATCAATGATACAGGTAATCAATGACTAATCAATAGGCCACAAAATTTTCAGCCATCGATTAGTCATTGATTGCTTAAGTCATTGATGTCATTGATTACTCATCAATATAACATTCTCTTGGCTACAAACTGTATTGTACGTACCTTATTATGATTTTACTCTTAGTTAGCACACACCCCGCAAGCATTGTCCATGCTTTAATTATCATTGTGTCAAAATAAAGGTTATAATTTGTATTATATCGTACAGTATAAACAAATAAAAACAACTTCTTCGATGTACATGTACAATTTCAACTTTATTCAGCTTAGGAAGATGACATCTGAAGCTCAGTACATGTATTACCCGGTAGAACGATCTCGCTGGCATTTATTATAAACCAAACCTTGACAGTTCTCCCGTCAAGGTTATTTAATTTTGCAAACTGTTCAAGTACTCCTTGCGAGGGGGTACTTAATTTCCTTGTACAAATTGCCTCAAGAGACATTCTCTGCAGGTCAGACTGAGGAACGTCATTTATAATAAGTATAATTTATTTGCTGGCCGGGAGGCCCGTATTGAGAAAAACTGTGCCCGTGGGTTTAAATTACCAGGAATATATTTTTTGCATTAATCAGTGCGTGTTTGCTCGGGAAGGCTTTGGAAGCATTAAAACAAGCAATTTTGTGTCCAAGAATTCAGCGCGGATATAGAATTTCATGAGCTGACACAACAGGGAGGTAAACTAGGTGTATTGTAGATTGTCATATCTGACGCAAAATTTTGAAATAGGCTTTCGAATTGAAGATTGAAGAAATTGTACTCCGTTAAAGGCTGATGAAATAAAAAAAATCGGCTTCAGATATGACACAATAGAGGTTTTAACTGATTACTGAGTGGTAAAACCAACTTGCTTTGTGTTCTTCTCGAGGAGCAAATTTGGTCACAAAATCACGTTTTTACAAAATTTTAACTTACAACATTACCGTAAAGCGCGATTCATTGATAAAACAGTCCTGGTGAACTTCCATTATTCCTCAATATATCTGTTAAGTTTTTAGTGGAATCGGCTTTCAAACGTCCAACACCCCTACCTAATTTATTCATGGACATGTATCCCCGTGACCTTAAGCGGCAGCAAAGAAAGCTTTGAAAAGAATTCAGGCTTCAACAGGATTCAAACCCATGACCTTTTAGCCTGCGAATGCAGATGGCGCTCCGCCTGTTTATTCATGCCCCAGCTATAGACCTTTGCACGGTGCTGGTGCCGGCAATCAACCAATCTACCATTGGACAATGAGAATGAATGAATGAATAACTTTTATTTGAGTGTCAATAGTATTTAGCTGTAAAAAAAAATAATTGGGGACACTATATAGAGCATTCAAGATAAAAATAATATATATAAAAATGTACAAATATTATAGTTTTTAAGGGTATTAATAATAGTAAAATATGAACAAAACTAATCTAATCTAATCTCAATTACATAAATTACAGTTTTTATAATCATCCGCCATTAGTAAAGATTTATCTTTTTTTAATACTGTCTGTGAAACTTTTGATTGTTTGTTTGTTCCGGTCACTGTGATTTAATTTGCTCCAAAGGTAGGGTCCGAAGTAGCGCAAAGAATGCTTTCCATAATGTACTGAATTGTAACGTGGAATATTGAAATCCGTATTTCTCAGGTTATATCCTTTAGGGGCAGAATCAAAGATTTCTCTGATATAGCTAGGCACTAGGCCATTTTTAACTTTGAAACATTAAAGTTGCGATTTTGTAGTCTCCTTTGGTACAAGCGTGGTAGGCGGGCTCTACTTAACAGATCACAGTAAGTTTCAGTTTTTGCTTTAAAAACTGCTCTGAGGGCACGTTCTTGGATCCTTTCTAGTTTTCTCTTGTCAAATGATTTGCAAAAGTGCCATACTGTATCACAATATGTTAGATGGGGTACGATGGTTGATTTGTTACAGCTGCATTTTTCTGAACAAGGGAACATTAATATTGTCAATAGAAAATTGGTACAGTCGTCAATATAAAATTATTAGACGTATATTCTCTTATAGCCAATTTAATCTGGTCCCTTTACATCTTTTTATTATTCTGGAGACAACCCCTGAAGGTATATGTTAACCCAAAGAACATGTCATCTATTTTCAGATATGACCTCTTCCTGCCTTTTAGGAAAGCTAGTAATGACGATGCCCCCTGGTTTAAACGAAGAATTGCAAAGGAACTCAATGAAATCCACCTAGAAATGAAAACGTTACTCATTAATAAACAAATACCCTCAGCAAGATTGGTTCAACGATTAGGAGGAATAGTGAAACGCCTAGACAACAGTCTACAACCGAGTACAACCAGTGCAGAGACAGTCAGCAAGACGGTAGTGTGGATGTGTGTCCAGATGAGTACCAAGGGTCAAAGGCTGGTCACCCATACTATGCCAAGGGATGGGCAATCACCAACTGTACCAATGCCAAACCGATTCGTTCTGTGATAAGTGTTTTTAGTCAATACTGTTGCATATCCCAAGGAAGATGAGAACAACATTGAAACGGTATTACAAGGGATTATAGAGACCTACCCAACTGTTCAGGTTCATTTGGCAACGCGTAGTAGCAAGGTGATGGAAGCTGCCAAAAAGTATAATATTGATGTTGTTAAGATTGATAATGGAAAAGTAGGCAAAGGATGGAATACACTGATAAAGAAGGTCTCTACTCCTTATGTGCTTGTTGCACGTGATGTTTTTCACTTCACATGGCTTACCCAACTTGAGAGGCAAATTCGCGTGGTCAGTCAGATACCAAATGTTGGAGTTTGCAGGCGGAGCATACCGTAACTTTTCGGGTCACTGGAAAGCGGGCTGTGTGCAAACTATGCTTAAAACTATGTCCTGGAATACCAGGAAGGCTATTATCACTCCAAGAATGAGTGTATGTTCTGTGATTATCTGCAGGACCTTTCGTTACCAAAACAAATCTGTTGAAGCTTGACGAGAGTATTCCAGATGAGGTTATTTTTGAAGATTGGTTTTTACGTGTTGTTGAAGACGGCAGCCTGATCATGTCGTGTCCAGATGCTATGTATTTCACTACAGATTACTCTTCGTATTCCAAAAGAACTGATAAAAAGTGTGGACACTTTTGGCTAAAAAGTGGGAGCTTAATCGGGTGTTACTGCCTCAGGGGGTCAAGCATTCCTTCTCTTGTAAGGATATTGGTTTCAAATGCGATGCCCATAGCGAATTACTCCCAGTTTGTTGTCAGGAAGAGTATGCAGAGGCCTCGTCTTTTTTCAGAAGTTTTACTGATGCGCACAATGTAACATTCGAGCTTGATACTGGTTCCGTATTAGGTGGTGTTAAGTTCAATGGCCTTCTTCCTTGGGATATTGACGGAGATTTTATTGTTTTGACCTCAGATATCGATATTTTGGCAAGAATGAAACAGTCGAGCATTTCAAACAAAACGGTTTCATTCTAACCCAATATGAATCACCACAACAAGGTGCGGGTATGTGAAAGTTAATTTCAACGGATTTTATATCGAAGTATGGGGAAGTTCTTCTGCAACAAATAAACTGTATCTCCCACCAGAGCTACGAAAACATAAAACGTTCACCAAAGCAAACATTCGAGGTAACTGGATCAATACGGCGTTTAGTCCTGGTTTATTCTCAAGAAATCGTTATGGAAGAGAAATCCTAAAGCATTCTCAGTCCTGGGCTAAAGTAGGATTACACAGCAGTTTTGGTGAGTATGTTGCTGGCAAGTTCAAGCCATGTGAGAAACCAAACCATCACGCTTGCTTGCATTATTTCCCTGGTGACGGCGATATTCCATTTTTAGTAACTTAGCAACGAATGGAATCGCCAGTGCTTATTCTTATTTATCACTTGGGCTTATTTATTAGTGCAGAGTGCTAGGGCTGAGTTTATTTTCATTGAAAGCAAGTGAATGAAAAATATAGTAGTAGCTCAAGTACCATTGCAAGAATAACAAACAAACGATGTACACCTCCGTGGTTTAGATTTTATTTTTTATACCGTTTATAAATAATCAATTAATAAATTGTTACGGGTATAATGCGAACTCCAGTCACAAAATGACCAGCTCTCAGGGGCTTGACAGCTCAGTTGCTAAGAGCATTGCATCGGCATCGCAAGGTCATGAGTTCGAATCCCGCTCAAGCCTGGATCTTTAACTACCTTCGTGATAAAATCAATTATAAAATTGTACAAAAAGTTACATGTGAAATAACCTGATATACAACGATAGTGATGAAACAAGAAACTTTGAGTATTTACACAGAGACCAAAGGACATGATATAGCTGCTGCTATACACTGCTTACATCTTCCAGGTCTGTATTTATAGAATAAATAAAATCACTGTTCAATCCCTGAGTGGCTGGTATCTGATGTTTATAGTTATAGACCTCTGCTGGTGTAATCTACTTAAACCATAGTAATTGCCCGTTCCGAAGTTCAAAAAGGGACTGGGCACTAGTTTACCTATTGTTCAAATTACGTCATTAAAAAATTAATCCCATCACCAGAAAGATCGCATGGAAATTAGTAAGTTTACCAAGTTTGGTCATGTTACATTACATAGTAACCAGGTTGTGAGCTGTCAAAGGTCGCCCAAATTCCATACAAACGTCTCTAATTCAGAGATGGCGTCCCCCAAATCCATACAAAGTCTCTAATTTTTCTGATTTTTGAAAGCCTTCTACATAGTTGCAATCTAACGAAACAACCTCAAACTTGGTAAACCGACTAATTTTAATGTGATCTTTCTTGTGACGGGCTCCAATTTTTAATTAAATTTAAAAACTCGTCCCCAGTCTCCATTTGAACTTCGGAACGGGCAATTGTGATGCCTGGTACAAACCCTAATAGCAGTTATTACAGATGTCAGCGGTTTGACATGCAAACGAGGCGTAAGGGTCAATCGGGTATTGTTTGACATGCAAACGAGGTGAAAGGGTCAATCTGGCATTGTATTGACCCATTAGCCTCATTTGTAGGCTCAGATTACCAGGCGCTGTTCGGGAAAATGAGCCAGAACGAAGACCTGACTCGCGAGAGCGGCGGAAATCGAGCCTAACTCGTTTGCATACTTTTTAAAAACAAAAGAATAACTGACTGCGGGCTCAACTGTAATAACTGCATCATTTTAGTCATAACGTGTGGTAAGAGCCGTCAGACAAATTGCGGCGAATACGGAAAATTTGGCAAAGATCATCCGTGGTCTTCCTCTCCGATAAGAGAGAGAGAGATTACCGATAATTTCCGAGGATTACACGAGGTCTTGCGAGGAATGTCGAGGCGCAACAGAGTCGTTTTAAACTGAGATCTCTCAAAATTAACTGAGAGCTGAGAAATGATCCAATGTTTAACTAATAACTGAGAATTCATACACCTTATTCATAAATGGCCGCCTTGCAATTTTTTGTTTGGCTAGGTTTTCAAAGAAATTAAGGTTAAGAGATCTTTATTAAGGCAAGTTACAATTGCATCTTTACAGTCCCTTTCAAAGCTGATCAGTAAAACTATTGTACAGTTTGATTCATGCAAAGTGAACGGTAAGTCCACCAGTAGGTCAATTTGGAATTAATGTCCGGCCTATAATCTATTGCGGATTGTGCAAAAATACACTTCTATTGTCCGTCTTGAGAGGTATTTTTAACCAGAATTTTGCTACAAAAGTGTCCGCTGTTCACTTTAGAGAGGTGTCCGCCTTAAAGAGAGTTTAGTTTACAGACAAACAAGTGAAATTCGGCCGGGACCCGCCTTACAGTGCCTCACTTTCATGTGTTGCCAAAATTAAAATGTATACAACTAAAGAATGAATTGAATAACATGAAAGATCATGTCAAAATGAATCATGTGTAATTTTAAGGCCATATTCATATTTGAGGAGAAGTTATAGCCTTTTCAATTTTGGAAAAACATGAAAGCGAGGCTATTTAGGATCGGATAGGTTGTGATTTCCCATACAAATGTCTTAAATTTGAATGAGCCATAACTTTGGCAGCCGTTTAAACCAAAAATATTCAAATTTCTAAAACTTAGTCAAACAAAAAATTGAAGGGCGGTCACGTATGAATAAGGTCTATCATCTGCATCAAGACCCACTAGTGTCAGGAAACAGGAAGTAACACAATCCTGCTCGGTAATGGACTGATACACCAGGCATGGTAAAAAGAAGCGCAAATGGTCTGGCGATAAATACAATGCTATCTGTGACATAAGATATCGAAAAATTCCGATTATAAGCCGGCTAGGGCTTATATTTGTCATCAGTTTGTCTAGAAGGCTATAACCTCTGATTTGTTCAAAAGGCTTATTATCGGGGAGGGGGAGGGGGCTTATTTTCGGAGAGCTTATTATCGTCTCTTGGTCTCTGAGCATATTGTAAGAAATAAAATACAAAACAAGTTCTACAGCTTATATAATCGGAAGAAGATTCTTTAGCTGAGCAGCTAAGCTCGGGAGGCTTATTTTCGGGGGAGGAGGGCGGGGGGGGGGGGGGGGGGGGGGTTCAGTTAAATTTCAGTTCCATATGCAGTTGGCTCCCGTGCGTTGCTGTAACAAGAGAGGATGATCAAGACTATTATCCTGCTGACAGACGATGTTAATACATTGTCTGTCAGCAGGATATTGTTGTCTCTCTGTTGCCACCATGTCTTTCAATAACATAACATAACCCGTGTCAGTATAAGTCACACGTCTGGCAACCAGCTGGTAAATTCAGAGTGATAAATTGAAGTCAAGTATAAAGAAAGCTTAGCTACAGGGTTTCTTGTTGATTCTCCCCTGCTTACACCAGGTTTTAACAAATACTAAAAGGCCAATGACACATTTATTTATATATCGCTGAGTCTAAAAAACAACACGATAGCGTGCAGACCACAAAACCTTTATCTGGTTTATTATCAAGTTTATTTGCATTTTGAACCTTTCAAATCATTTTATATTTGACGCTGTTTGAATCACAATATTTTCCAAAATCAGCACAAACGTCTTCAGTAATAAAATCACCCGTCGTGGCCAATTTTCTTTACAAAACAAACAAACAGCTAAACTGAGTCACCAAACCATACAGACAAGTCGTAATCAATATGCGATGTTTATTCTGCCTTTTATTGTTCGCTTTATCAATAAATCTCTGATAAACTGAACACTGCCCTGCTGAAGATTTATAGCTGAGAAATAGAACTACATATGCAGATACTGTATAAAATCGAATGTTAAACCAAGAGAAACCGAGCTCAGGGAAAGATCAATATTTTCATTAGTCAGGATCAGTCTGTGTCAGTCTGCAAGTTTAGTAAAAGTTGGAGCTAAGTAACTCCCGCTTACTAATTTGAAATTGTTGATTGCGCCTCTTGTAGTTATCCAAAGCTTCTTGCATAACGTGCATTTTTTTCTCCAATCCAGACCTCTTCTTCTCGGCTTCTCTTTTGCGTAAAATGGCCCCTCTGATTTTATCTCTGATGCCGATAATCTTGGCTTCTTGTTCCGAGTGAGGGACGAAATCTTCTTCCGGTGATGGCAACCCTTCGGGCCTTTTCTCTGCTAGATATCGGTGAATAGTTTAGCTTCTGGCTGATCAAAAACGCTCGGTCAGTAGCTTTCTGTTCTCGTCGCTCAGCTTTTTTCTATTTTAGGCTCTAAGAGGGACACCACTTGTAGCATTCCCTTATTCATTCGTCTCACTTCCATTGTGCGCTGTTGAGTGTCGTGCAGTTTACGCATCATTTCCTCTATGTCAACAGTGGGATCCTTCCAAGACATTTGTAACTCGCCCGTTTTTCTCGATATTTCTCAGCTATCTCTTTCCTCCGACCGTTCTGGTAAGCAATGCGGCTTTCGATCTTTCTGGTTTGTTCTTCTATGTCAGATATCCTTTCCGACATCGCCTTCATTTGGTGCTTGGCATTATGTTCTCTCCATCTTGCGGCCAATGTCTCCTCCTTGCTCATGCTGGTTTTGTCCTCTGTTTCTTTTAGATCGCGTTTCAACTTGTTCATTTTTTCTTGAAATGATTTGATGCTGAACTTTGCAGCCCCTTTGAGCGTATCCGTCACATCAGAGGACATTTTAAACGACAGCAGAACTTAAAAGTCGCCAACAGAGTTCCCTCAGTTTTTTACGTCACTTCACTGAATCGCTGCGAATGTGTCAAGACCTTGGATGATGAATTTGAATTGCGTGATCAGCACGATTGCTTTCTGATTCGATACAATTAAGCAAAGCGTATCAAATGACGGTAAATGTATCTCTAGCTACAGCTCTCCACCTTGACTACGTTGACTTGCCTGCGTGCAATCTCAGTCTCCTCTTACAGGAAGTCTGGATTGAAGTGGAGTCGCTTCATCTAAATTCATGTGCATGTGAATGGCGACAGAACAAAATTTTCAACTGACCTCGGCAAAAAAGGTCAACTGCGCTTTCCGTTCAATATTAATGAATGTTGAAGCGCAGTACACGATACGCCGCACTTTATAAAGAATAAGGTATGTATTAAAAGATGGGAAGAGAAAATGAAGAGACACTAAAACAAGATCGGAACACATTCTGAAAGTACGTCATTCTGACTCAAATATACAAACGATATAAGGTACGAATTAACACACAAACTAAATGGAAATAATAAATAAATTCACTGTTTACAGATTAGCATTGTTTATATACTGGATACAGATTTGTTTTTCTTTGTTTTTTCCTTTTACAGTAAATATTGGTTGTTCATCGGCATTCTCGATCGGAGGTGCTCCGACTAAAGCATTAGCCACAAGCTTGTTGTAATTTTGCCAAAAATAGTTGATCAGGAGCCACTATGGTTGATACAGTTTGTTGGTTGTGTGACGAGCCAGAAGTATCACGCTATCTTTTGAAAAGAAGACAAAACAATACTAGGAAAGTCAACAGGAGCACATTAAATCTCATCAGTTTAAATCCAGTTGGACCGAGCCAAAAGTTTAATTTTACGTGTATCCATGCTGAAAGTTTTTTCCTTTTTTTAAAATTTTAAATTGGGATTTATTTTACATCGTATTCCATACGTGAAAACACTCATTTTCTCACAGTTTTTACCGGGGGTGGTGGGGGGGGGGGGTACTCCCTCTTTTGTGACCTTTACGGGGACGTGCCGCTGGACAGGTATGGTTTATGGCCCCTCTGTCCA